GTATCGGAAGATGTAATATTAAAGTGGTACAAAGAAGGGCATTCCGTGAAGGGAAAAATGCTCTTTCTAGACCAAATGAAAAAATTTGTGGAGTGGTTACAGAATGCTGAAGAGGAATCTGAATCAGGAGAAGAAGAGGATTAGATATTCAAGTAACTTTTTACAAAAGTTTATACAAAATGAATATAAAATTTATATTGTACCTTATAACTATAATTTATGGAATTATAAAAGTAAAATAAAAGTTCTCGAGATAAAAAAAGGACAAAAAATATAGTGACTAACGGGCAATTGAGAGCAATAATCAACGCAATGATTCATAATAATTGAATGTATTGTTCTAGATGTTACGTACAAATAGACATCGCGTACATAGGACGTCGCTGATGATAACGAAGTCGAAATCCGATTCTTCTCATTTATATGTAATGTCTAGAACAATATATTTGTTAATAATTACGCATGAACAATTGTGTTGATTATTGCTCTCAATTGCCCGTTAATCATATATTTTATAGCCATGATATTTTATGACTTTTACAGTATTGTTTTTCTCTACAGGAAAACGCATCATTGCCACTGACAAGAAATAATAGTCCTAAAATTTCAAGATAGATCAAGAACAATATCAATCAGAAAAGACATACGAATTCTTGAAAAACAAAATATAAATAAGATATAAATAAAAGTCAATGTTAGGAACTCCATAATGAATTAAGTATTCAAAAGAATAGAAAATTTTTAAATTATCAATAAGGACATTAACATCCAATCAGTGTGGAGGAACTGTAAATTTGCAACATCTTTGAATTGTATTACTTTAAGAAAAAATATTTTGTGTTACATTTTTATAACTCCGCTACAAAATATATACAGAATAACAAAGAAATTATAACAAAAAAATCTTTATTCCTGTGTACGTACAATTTTCGGATCCCTGTCTTTCTTTGTATAATAATATTGTATTAGTTTATAGAAAATATACTGACAGGTGGTGTTTAATATTTTGAGTTTTGGTGACAATTCCTTATAATACTTTCTTATAATAGAATGAACAAATGTCAGGAAAAAAATTGCATGGTAATATTCTAATATTATTGAAAGATAAAAATGTTTTTTAAGGACTTGATCTAGAAAAGAAATGTGTTCAACTTACGATCACAATATTCATTCATAAGTAATACAGTTGCGATATTTATACTTTATTCAGCTTTTTCTTTTACATTTAATTTTTGTTTATATTTGTAAGTTCTCATATCTGCGATTGGTTGCTTTTTAATGAGTGTTTTACCCTTCATCAGAGGCATCAACTCATTTGGTATAGTGATACGATGATGTCTCGTTTGATATGTTTCGCACAATGCGATTAACATGCGAGGTATCGCGCACGCAGTTCCATTTAGTGTATGCACGTGAGCTATATTTCCATCTTTTGTCCTATATTTAATATTGAGGCGCCTTGACTGATAATCCGTGCAATTACTACAACTAGATAACTCACCATACAATTTTCTTCCAGGCATCCAACCTTCCATATCACATTTTCTAAAACAAAAAGAATTACATTTGTGAAAAATATAAATGTACTGAGTGTCCCGTTTTAAATAACTATCTCAAATATCTCTTAAATTCATTTGAGAAAAAAATGTTTCAGATGAAAATTTTCGAGTGAGATATAATTAATTTGATCTTAAGTGATGTCAAAATCAAGATAAAGACACTTTGAATTATTTAAATAGAACCTCATTTTTCATTACATATTTTTGTAGTTTATCTCGAGAGCTTTTCGAAGCTTTATAATAAAATAAAAAATCTTTCCATTAAGTATTTTTCGCACACGCATGCATGTGTGTGTGTGTGTGTGTGTGTGTGTGTGTGTGTATGTGTGTGTGTATGTGTGTGTGGATGGATAGGTGTTCATGCAGTGCGTGTCACATACTACATATGCACACACGCATGTACATCACATACATATATACATCATATGAATGAAAAATGAGTAATTCCATTAAAAAAATTCAAAGTGACCTTATCCTGATCTTGTCATTTAAAATGGAATACCTTGTATATAGATGTAGGAATATAATTATCCATAATACCTATAAGCTGATGAACCTAAATCAAGTGATGGCATATCCATTATTTGAAAGTGCAATCCTAAGGAAGAGAACAATCCCTCCTGTATATTTTGAAGATCTTGAAACACTTCCTCAGATTGATTTGGTTTGGAGCAAACAAACATTTCCACTTTAGTAAATTGATGAACTCTGCCCAAACATTAAGTTGAAAAATAAAATCAATTAAAAAAAATTTAAAGTTTATCTTTATGTGTTAATCTTAATAACAAGTAATCTCTTGCCTATAGATTCCTCTTTCATCTAGAGAACCTGAACCCTCTGCACGATAGCATCGACTGACAGCAGCCAATTTCATTGGTAGTGTGTCATAGGAAATTATAGTGTTCATCAATTTGCTAGCTAATGACATTTCTGCAGTTCCAGATAAACTATAATTGTCATCATAATGAGAATCTAAATTGTATACCAAAGTCCGATTATTATTCACTATTAAACCACATCTCTCGATTATTTCAGTAAGGATGATGTCAGGTACTGACAATAATTTAAATCCATGCTTCATCAATCTTCTAAGTGTATACTGAATTAATGCTTCTTCCAATTCTGCTAAATCTCCTAAAAGTATATAGCTTCTTTGTCCGGTAACAGGACCGAGTGTATGGGTTCTTATTGCTTTTAAATTAGTGGCAAGTTCAGCAAATTCTTGAGGCTCAAAGTCAAATTGTGGTTTTCTACCACATTTCTTTAACAATTTTGGTTCATCTCCATACTCAATTACTGCAGGATGTGTACAATTTGGTATTTTGCTTAATTCTTGCAAAAGCAATTCTCGCTTCTCGGCATTGCCAGAATATTCGAGAACTTTATCAATATCTCCAATACCTTTTCGACTTTTAATATTACTGAAAATAATGTCACGATTTGCAGAATTGCATACAAAATCTGTATCATATTCTGGTTCTGGCACAAATAATCTCGTGTTGATTATATTTTTCTTTGGTGTTGTGGGCTATTACAAATATTATTATTATTATTATTATTATTATTATTATTACATAAAAACAATACTTTATATAAATTATGAATATTACATAATTTACTACTATGTAATAATGTACAAAAAAATTGCAAATAATAATACGTACTAATGTATGTAACAAGAAATGCCGTGACCTACAAAACTGCTTGAAATTTTGTTGAAGATTAATTCTCATTTTATATTTAAAAATAAATATATCAGTTTATATCATTTCAATAATGTGTTAAAAATGGAAATAATTAGCTAGAGCGATTAAAAAATCAATAATAAAATTAGACTTATTCGACGCGTTTTTGCATGAAACGAAAGAATCTGGCGGAAATAAGCGTCGCTCTACTCCGAAAATCAAGATATCAAGTGTTAAAGTTAACGATTATTGAGGTTAAGAAATTTCTCGGCAAAATACGCTTCAGGTACTTTTTTATGCTGACGCTCGACGCTCATTTTCAGCGTCAAAATAGATCACGTGATCAAAATTGACGTTTGATATTCAACAGTTTCTATCACGTGACTTACTTTAACGCTGAAAATGAATTTGTCGCTGAATATGAGCGACGAGCGCTTCATGAATACCTATCTTAATGCATCATTTATTCTTGTTTAACATTCGGTGAATAATAAGGATAAATGATGCATCATGCATGAAACGGAACGCAGTCTAAAAATTTAGACCAAACAGATATAAGAGGTACATTCAATATTACAATCGCTCACTGCGCTGAGCACTCAGTGAGATCATAGCAGGTCGTAGTATTGAACGCACCTAATAAACAAATCATGGCGGACGCTGCTGCACGTCAATTACAATACGAGTATAAAGCGGTTTGTATTTCTCATTTTTAATTGTTTATTTTTTAATGATGACATAATAGTTGTTTTTAATTATTTTATTATGCTAACTTTTTTATAATACGCAACTTTTAACAACTGTGCAACTTACATGATATTTATGACGTTACATTTACGATGTGTTGTATCTGCGATGCGATTTTGTTACATTGCGTTAATATTTACAGAATTCCAATCTCGTTTTACAAGCTGATGTCCGATTGATAGAAAGACGCAGCCGAGATGAAGCTACCGGTGAGGTTATGTCTCTCGTGGGAAAATTGGATGGTACTCGTATGGGTGATAGAGCCCAGCGTACCAAACCTGGAAAAGCAGAGGAGAGAAAAGTCAAGTAGGTTTATTGTAAATCAGTAATTGGATTTGAACACACGACTTTTATTTTGATGGAACTGTCTTCTTTATGTTGCTCTCTTGGTAAAAATTTTTTTCAGAATTTTTCATGTAGCTTTTCAGAGTTTTTATGTAAATTTAAAAATTTTTCAGAATATTTGAATAATTTTGTAACTTCAACAAATTTTTAGATTTTTTAATACAAATTAGAACACTTCAGAAATATCAGAAGTCTACATCTTTTCTAGAATTCTATATGTGAATACTGAAATATTTTAAGATTTTTCATTTTAAAGTTTTTGATAAAATCTTACAATCTGAATAAGATATTTTTTTCAAGATATTTTTTTTCAGAAATTATATGAAAAACCTTATTTATAATATCTATATATATGGAAAATTCTAAGAAAAAGTGTTAACTTTCTCAATAGAAAAGTGTTTTAATTTGTACAAAAATTCTGAGAAAAATTTTCACTTGTGTCATATTTTGATAACAAACCATTCAATGTATCGGTTATTTGTTACAACCATGACATAACATCAAAAAATAAAATTTTCCAGGAAATAACTCTTTAAATCACTAAAATTGTAATATTAATTTTGAAATGTAATTTCAGTGTTGTAACTAATTGTAGAGGGAGAAAAATATGTTTTTTTTTATATTAGTTGCTTTCCACTTACATCTCAGATAATTCTCACTTGTGACATCTCTCACTTGTGACATAACTCAGTTGAATGCACATTCTTTTTGCATTCTAAATATAAATAAAGATTCTAAAAATAAATGAGATTTAATTGAGTTTTTGCTTATAATTTGCACAAGATCGAGACAGTATGCTTCAGTGAGTCTCATAACTCACTTTAAAAGTGAGATTATGAACCTGTATTGTCATGATAACTTTTTGATAACGATAACCAAAGGAAATAACATCGTTAATGAGTATGAAATACTCAGTTCACTTCAGACTCAGTTTCACTTGTGTGTAGATGGAAAGCAACTATTCTGTTTTTTTTCTGATAATTATACAATTTAACTTCATCACTTCAAAAATCTATGAAATTAGGCTTATTCGGCTTATTTGGCGATGCGTTTTTGCATAAAATGAAAGACTCTCGCAGAAATGTCGTTCGTAGTCCTATGAACCGTAATACTTATTAATTGTAATACTTATTAAAGTTGACGACTATTCGTATTAGGAGATCTGTCACATCGATGACATAGAAGGACATGACAACATGTAAGTGAAGTTAGAATAAGTATTTTCTGCTTCAAAAAAATTATATGAATTCTCTGCTTTAAAAACAAATTTTCTACTCTACTTTACAAACAAAAAATATATAGAAAATAATGTATTTTTAAAGCAGAAAATTGTATTTTTAAAGCTGAGAATTTGTGTAACTCTCTATTCTCTCGATGTGACAGATTTCCTAATCTGAATAGTCTTCAACTTTAAATGTTAAGACACATAAAAAAATTTAAGACGTAAGTGTTGTAAATAATTGGTTAACATAAATTTATGTTAGAGTAAGATTTTAGCAAAATCATTTTATTATAACGAACTGTTAAACATTAGAAGCAAAGAGCAATTAAAAGGGAATAAACAAAAGAACATATCTTAGCAACTAAACAAAAGAAAACATTGACGTTGCGCGCTATTCATGCTTCATGTATCACATGCATGCTCCTTCTCACACAATCATGATATCTGCATAAACTCACTAGATTATTAACACTCCTCCTTAATCTAGTAAGTAAAAATAATATTTTATTGATTGTACCCAATTTCTAAATCTTGTAAGACAAAAAGATGTTTAGCGTTATTAAGGATTTCGTAAAAATGTTTGTTATCAGTAGATTCATATTTAAATATTATTTATTTATTTTCAATAGTTTCTCTGATAAAATGATATTAACATCTATGTGTTTAGTTTTATTGTGAAAGACTGGATTAGATGCTAACATTTGAGCGCTTTGATTATCATTAAAAATTAAATAAAAATTATTGTATAAGCTTATTATAATTGTTATTATAATTGTTTCACTTGACAAGTCTTTTAAGTGAATTGTCTTTTTTGTTGACTCAAAGATAGCTAACATATTCCGCTTCTGTACTAGAAAATGCTACCGTGCGCTGTTTGCGAACTTCTGAAGATGTGAGTCCATTTGACATAAAGACATAAAGATGAAACCACTGTAAGATTTTCGATCATTAGAATCATTCACCAAATCTGCAAAGCCTGTAATATGCATATAGTCATTCTTTTATATGTACAATGTATACATAAATAATAATCAATGGTATTTTTTAAATACTTAAAAATTCTTTTTGCTGCTTTCTAGCGCTGATCAGTATGAGAAACATTGAATTGACTTAAATAACTAGTTAGATAAGCAATATCAGATCTCGAATTTATAACTAAATTAAAACTCCTATTGATTGCTGATAAGGCACATCAGTATTTGCTTTGTCAGTAAAATTTAGTTTTGCATTTACTTCCATAGGAGTTTAGACTAATTTCGCTTCTGACGTAGTAAATTTTAAAAGTAACTAAAATATAATCTTTCTGATTCACACTTATTTCATTTTGATTTCTTTCAATATTTAATAGGCATCTTTTGACCTAATCCCAAATCTTTGATTTTAAAATTTCTCATCAATTGTTCTTTCAATCTTTTTTATCTTTTCAGAGCTATTAGAAAAAAATACGAAAATCATCAACATGCAACGCAATAATTATGAGAAATTTGTCTATAGCTTTGAAAAATATACATGTTTCAAACTTGGATTTCTGAAAACCAAGTTTAAATAGTACTTTTTGGTACCTTTTTTTATTCCATATTCTAGAAGTTGTCTGTTTTAAGCCATATTGTTTTATTTAACAAACATACCTTATCTTTGTTATCTTGATCTATAAAATCTTTGAATTGAAACATGTATATGTTTTTCGATAGCCCACCGTTTAGAAAGGTCGTGTTCACATCTAAATGATCTATGTCTAAACATACTTCAGCAGAAAAGGCAATTAACAATCTTATACTCGAATAAACTCTTACAAGTGAAAAAGTTTCGAAATAATCAATGCCAAATTTTTGTATAAAGCCTTCCGCCATGAGTCGAGCCTTATATCTGACAATCTCACCAGCAGAATTTCTTTTGGTGCGAAACACCTATTTATTTTTTACTATTTTCTTGTTCTTCAGAGAATCTATCAATAACCAAACTTTGTTGTTTGTCATTGACTTGAGCTCCTCTTTCATTGCCTGTTTTCATTGGAAAGAAGAACATGCAGAGGATTTTTTTAATGCTGGCCCAAATACTGATTCAGAAACTGAAGAAATTTTCGAAGAAATTTTGAGTTTTGAGAGTGTGAATATACTCCAAACAATCGAACATTTTTAAATGACTTAAATAAATGACTTAACTTTCTTGCCGGTCCAAAGTTCTTCAGGCGTTTTTCCTATAACTGCTTTATGAGGAGAACGATTTTTAAGGTAGACTGCAATGTTCATAGCTTCAGCCCACATCTTTTGAGCCATACTCGCATCTTGCATCATGTAGCGAGCTTTTTCGATAATTGTCCGATTTGTTTGCTCCGTTACACATTTTGCTCCGATGCATAAGCTGATGCTTGATATTTTTAAACTTCAGATAAAAAGCAAATTCTTTATGTTTTCTCGTTCATTGTCAGTACGTAGAGTCTTTATTGTTCGATCAGATTCATTTTCTACCATGTATTCTAAGAATGAGGAATATATTTCATTTTTGGAGATAAGAAAAAATACATAAATTTTTCTAGAAAAATCGTCAATGAATGTAAGAATATTTTTTACCGCTTCATGAATATTCTGATATGGGGCCATACAAATCCGAGTGGACAATTTCTAATAATTTAGTAGCTCTTTTAGCAATCAAATTTTTGAAAGGTTTTCTAGTTTGTTTACCTTTCAACATATTGCTTTTTTTATTATCAAAAGATATTCCAATAGCTAAACCTTACTTTAACAATTTTCACGATTAAGGTGCCCCAGCCTTTTGTATCAGAGAGTTTCTTATCATCTGTCTGCATTACAAGATTTGCGATCTGGGAAGTATCTAAACGATACAAACCATTGTAATGCTGTGACGATAATTTTTCCGGAGACTGAGCAATCTTCCGAGTCATAGACCTGGCAATCTGTTGAATTGAAAACTACAATATGATCGTTTTTTATCATTTTATTTATAGAAAGAAGATTAATTTTTAAGTCAGGAATATAAACCACATTGAAAATTCTTTTTGTAGCATCTTTTGTAGAGACAATTACACTTCCAATACCATGCGCATTAAGTGTCTGAGCACTTGCAACTGCTCCTTTTTTGTTCAGTCTTGAACCCAATTTTTTCTTATTTGATATATAGTTGCACCAGAGTCTATGAATCAGTAGCTAAGTTTTTAGAATGCGACAAGTGTCACATTCTAAAAACTTAGCTACTGATTTAAAACTTTATCATCCTTTGAATTATTTTCGTCTGAGTTATGCTCTTATTGTATTTATTATAATTACTATAATTATTAAGAGGACACTCAAATTTATAACCTTTATAATCTTCTTTGTTACATCTGTAACAAACTACTTTCTTCTTATTAAACATTTTATTTTTAATATGCTTTCAATTATTTAAAAATATTTTAAGAAACACAGGATTTTGATATGTATAATAATGCTTTAGTCGATTGATCGATAATAATTTGAACAAATGTTTCTATCTCCGTTCGAGATTCTTTTCAATGTGAGATTAAATAAACCAATAAATTGAGATCAATGTTTTCCTTAGTATGTGAACGCAATGACAATATATTTATGTGCAGAATCAGAGCTGAATGCATCATGTTTCAACGTCATTAAGCTTCTTGGTTTACTAGATGAACAAATTTTATGTCAAAAAGAAAGAGCTAAAGTCGTTAAACACATTAGAGATATTCGATCGTGTGTTACAAGACATATGTGTCATCTGACAA